AAATAAGATTCACAACACTTTGGATTGTAATTTCTAGGTTCTGAGCTGAACAGTTCATCAACTTCTCTTTTTATTAAAAGACAGTGTCGACACTTCAAAAAATGTGCTTAAAGGAAACTTATCAGTGAGATTAATTGCTTAGGAAACGCTCAAGGCTGACTGATAAATTTCAAAAATTCATTGGTCTTGTAGTAGTTTCAAATACAGTAGTCTTTTAACAGAATTTAAGTGGACAGAAATCTCTGCTAAAATGTTTATATTATATTTATTTTAAAATGAGTGATATATTTTTAAAGTATTTATTATTTACCTTGTGGTATGATACCTGTGTTTAGTGTTTACATTCTGTAGCTTTATTTAATGTTAAATTGATCACATAAATTCTGCTAGTCACAATCAGATAGAAATTTAGCCGATTAATTAATAAAAATCCTAATTTAATTCTCCTGACAGATAATCTAGATATTCTCATTCCTCATTGTTTTGAAAAAAGGAGGGCATAAAAAGCACTAGGGAGCTACTTTTAGATAACTGAAAACTTTGTTTCATTGTTTCATTTGCCCCTCAATTGCCACAAACTTACTGAACGGCGAGTTTCATGGTTCCCATTAGAGGGTGCTCTTTCACTGCTGTTGACCCAGTCCATCCCTTCATGTCCCACAGGTAGGCAGACCCAGTGGGCATCCAGCCTGGTGTTTTTCTGACAGATGGCCCATTTGTAGGCTTTGTGGTCTTTAATGACAGTAATCTCTGAAAGATCAGAATGTATCACCCAAAGCACCATTAGCTGTCTTTGAGGGTCTGTTATGAATCTGTCATCTGTGAATTGCCGTAAACCTAAGTTTGCCACACTTTAGGCCCAGACCATGTTTTCAGAGAGCAACTTAGTAATGTATACAGTAGTCAGTACGTTTTATGAAATACTTTATTTTGCTAAATTAAGCTCTTCCAGATCTCAATGAGTGATCTTAAATTCTAGTCTTGAGAAACTTTGTGAGCATGTCTGTTTTGAGCTTATTTATACCTACCTTTCATGGTAGGCAACCATGGCAGTGGGGATGGCAGAGTTTTTGGATTTTTTTTAATGGGCCATTCATGTTCTGAGTGTCATGAAGTTTATTCTTTCATTCATGTTCACAATTGTTAAAGATATCACATTTTATAAATACACTGTTAAATTCACTTTGCTGTAGGTTATAGTTTACCTGTTATATAATTCATAGTGCTAATTGTAGAAGCAAAGTAAATAATCAATTTAGGATGTTGAAATTAAAATAATCACAAGAACTAATATAGTTTCTTTTAATTGCTAAAACTATAATTAAAAATTATAATTTTAATATTAGCCATAATATTACACTGTATTTAGAACAGGCTTATGTACAATGCCCTCATTTATTTAAACAAATTGATTTTTTGGTTATCATAATCTAGTAATGTTTTTGCATCACTATTGATTGTCGTGGAGTTCTTCTGCTCTCTTATTCACTCATTTAGACTTCTTTTAGGGAAGCTATTTCAGAATAGCATATGATAAAACATATCACTGTCTTGTTTTTGCAAAATTACTTTTTTGGGCACATCGACCCAGCATTTCAAATAAATGTATAGGCATGTGCCTTGTTTAAATAAGTACAATTTGTAAGACTTCGTGTTTGCAAGTTACATATTAGAGTAGTGATTGTTTATATTACCAGGGATTCTATACTTTACCAAAAAAATTGCCATAAGATTTTCCTGTTCCATTTTAAATTGTCTTGATATTTAAAAAAATAACTTTTACATTCTCAGGAAGAAATACATGAACTAAATCATATCTCCATGTTTGTTTCCAGATTTCTCTCATCTTTTTACTGTCCCAATACATTCCTAACTCCTATAAACTTAGTGGCTTAAATAGTGAATACCTGGCAGCTCTCATAGATCCCATAGGCAGATGATGATAATTTTCAGTGCTTTGTCATGTTGAATAGAAATCAAACTGACTTATTTTAAAATACAAGTTGTCTACTAGTAAGATTACATGATTTAAATGTGTTTTAGGTTTTCTGCAACAAATTAGCTGTGAACCCCTAATGTAGCTAATGTTTATACAAATTTTATAGTCAAAATTATTTATTTTTATTTTTTTAGAGTGTTTCAAAAATACAGTGTTTGCTTTGTTAAATACATTTGCTTAGAGTCATAAAGTATACTATGACTCAGAAATTGTAAAGTCCATTTGCATTGTAAAAATGAGTACTACCAGCATGTCAAAAGAAAAATAATTTGCATTTGTAATATAAACTAAAATTGTATTTAATGTATTTATTGAATTTTAAATTTGCACTAACTTGAAAACTTTAAAGGTTATACTAATTTACAGATTAATGTGGACCCAAATACATAATTTGTTTGGCCAAAAAGGTCATTAGAATGGGTAATAGTTTGTGTGGTTTTCCTTCTAAATGGTAATATTGAAGCAAGAACCAGCGTTTTATATTGAGAATTTTTTTAATATTTCTACCCGATTGAGGACAGTGGAATATAAGTAGATTTATTTAAAATATGTAGATATTTAAAAATTTTTTAATGTTGTTTATCCCTATCTGAATTCATTCTCAGCAACAAGACAGAAAAGGTGGTTTGGGTTTTTCTTTTAAAAAGTGTGCCCTTGCCTTTTTCAGTTTTTCCCTTGAAATCTTTCTCCTCCTGTTTCTCGGAGTACGCTCTGCAGGAGTATGCTCTGCAGCATCAGAATGCATGGGCAGGCTGTTGAAAGTAGGGATTCCTGAGCCCAGCCTTTGACTTAAAGATTCTTTGTCTCTGGAGATGCAACATAGAAACCTCTGTTTTCATTCACAGCACCTCAGGCAATTCTTAAGCGTACTGAAATTTGAAAGTTTCTGGTCTGAACCTCATATATTCACATGGGGCTTTCGCCAGGTGGGATACCATGCCAAAAAACTGAATTAATTGTATGTTCTTAAAATTGTTTTTCTTCTACTCCACTGTCCCCAAAATCACTTTTCTAAAAGGACTCTATGAAAAACTTGTTTGTATCATACCCAAATTGATATATTTGTCTGAACTCTATTACATAAAAATTGGTATGATTCGTACATGGGATCAGTTTTTGGACTGCGACCCATGCAGTATTTGTTATTTGTTTGTTTGTTTGTTTGTTTGTTTTCCGTGCAATGTTGAAGGACAAGGAGTTGCTTCAAGAGCTAGTGCAACGCGCCTCCAAGGGGCAGCAAGCCATGGAGGCTCCTGCCTTCTCACTTCAGTCAGTGCAGCCACACTTGTGTATACTGAGTTGCTGCTTTAGATCTCAGTAGATAAAATATTTCCACATTTAAAATGCTTCTATTTTTAAAAAAGGGTTTGAAAGCCACTACTATACTGACTGTCACCTAATTGATTTTCTACTAATTTTTACATATTCAGAAACTTCATTTTTTTTTGATGGACAGAATATTTTGGAGGTCTCCGTTGCTGCTTAGAATGTGGCCACTTGGCTATTTCACAGTTTTTAAAGCTATTTTATTGAATAGTAAAGCATTGAACTTAGCCTTCATTCCTTGTGTTTCTAATTTTAGTTTATTATCTGTGTATTTGGTTAATTTTAGATATGTAAATATACATACACATACATACATGTCTATTTATCTACCTTGCCCTGACTCTGTAGTCAGTGCATGAGGCTTGCAGATCCCAAAAAGGTACATTCCAGGGTTCTGTGGAAATAATTTTAAAATGTCATCCTCTAATACAGACATTTACAAAGCTTAAATGAAAATGATTGAACTTAACCATCTGCGAGAATGTCTGCAGAAAATAAATCACCTAGAAACTATAAATAGAAATGTATTGCTGAGGCCAGGCGCAGTGGCTCATGCCTATAATCCCAGCACTTGGGGAGGCCAAGGCAGGTGGATCACCTGAGGTCAGGAGTTGGAGACCAGCCTGGCCAACATGGTGAAACCTCGTCTCTACTAAAAATTAAAAAAAAAAAAATTAGCCGGGCACAGTGACGCATGCCTGTAGTCCCAGCTATTCAGGAGGCTGAGGCACGAGAATCACTTTAACCCTGGTGGCAGAGGTTGCAGTGAGCCAAGATCGTACCACTGTACTCCAGCCTGGGTGACAGAGTGAAACTTTGTCTCAATTTTTTAAAAAATGTGTTGCTGGTATCAGACATCAGACCAAGCACACTTCAGTCTCTCTAAGGATGCCCTGAGCTACCTCACTATTAAAGGACAACATCAACACAGAATTCACTAAACAGGAAATAAGCTATAATCTAGAGAATTTCCCTTACATGTTACTTTTTAGTGACTAACATGGAATGTTGAAAAGGAAGAGCTGGAAAGCTAAGTTGTTTTCCTTGTTCCTCTGACATTGTCCAGGCAAGAGGGCATCCTGATCAGATGAGTAGGTTTGGCTGAGAAAAACCCTAGAGTAAGGCAGGCACCTTGTGGAGTTGGTTAATGATGGCTCTTAAGAACACTTGTTCTCAATCCAGTTCACGGCTCTGCCAGCAGTCTTTCAGATTTGAACTACTTAAATGAACCCTGCAGATAAATTGGCATTCTCCTTTGTAATTCTGTATAAGTTTAGAGCAGCCTACCTCGAGTCCTAAACCCCAGTCCTCTTAGAAGTGAACTGACTGCAGTGGATCCCTAAACCCACAGTGCTGAGGGCACATGTGATGACTCCACTTGCGCAGCCAGCTGGCCCCTTGTACTTTCCCCTGCCCACCACAGTCCTGTATACCTACCAGTTAATTACCCTGTGTCAATTGTTTTTGTGTTGGGTCTGTATTTTTGTGGTCAGTGCCTGAAGGCACATATGTGAATTAAAGCATTTGATATGTTGAAGATACTTGCTTGTTTTTTAATAAAATTAAAAGTACAGCAGTACAGCACTTAAGTATGATACTGTGTTGTTTTTTGACACAACCACGAGATAAAATAAGTGGCTTTGACTTAATGTCCCAGAAAATGATTCTTGGTCTACAGTCGGGCAAACATACTATGTGGCCAGTTTGGAGTCACATACTTTTGGACAGAAAGAATAAAAAATTCATATTGCAGGGCCTTTGTAGCCTAAGAGCACAGAATAATACAAATGAATGTTAGGAGAAACATTCATTCTCACGCATATAAACTGGCTCCTGGCAGAGCAGAGCAGTAAATGGGATTAAATAGTTGAATTCACCTTATTTTCAGTTGGTAGAATATGGAAAAACACAGAATTTATTTGAAACATCTGAATTGGAAACCCAGCCTCCACCACTGTAATTTAACACTGGGCAATTACTTGTTCTTCCTGAAGCTCAAATTTTCTTTAAGAGTGGGAATTAATGGCCACCTAGGGGTTGCACCTGCCTATAGGAGCTAGGCAAGTGATGAAGGGAAGAGCTGTAGAGACTTTGGTAAACCAGAGCACATGATTGCTGGGAAGCAGGCCTAGTGTGAACAGAATTTATTTTTCTAGAAAAGATAGAAATTTAGAGTATATGAAATCTGATTTTTAAGTATTGGTTGGCAACTAATTATTGTCTACCATAAGGTAACGTGATTATTATTGGGGTGGGAGAGTGAATGCATCTTAATATACATGGCAGAACTATGTGTTTCCTTCCATCTGGGTTTGCATAAAGCTTTGTGATGTATCAGTAACGATATGAAAAAAGCATTTTGTGGCATGTAACATCTTTTATTCATTTTATTAGGCATTAGAGGAAGAAGATTCTGTAGTCCTGCTTTATTCTGTCATCTTTACCTGGAAATCCATTTTTATAAAATTTTTGTAATAAAAAGTCACTTGATCACTAGCCTGCTTTCTTTTAAACAGACAGTGCCAAGTGTCATGCTCCTTTTCTTGATAATTTACATGCATGAGAATATGGCTATGTTAACTGCTGAAGTTCACAAGGCAGGCTGTCTTACCCATAATGATTCCATGTTTGAACTTCTTAAACAGCTTCGTACATTTATTTGTACATTGAAATGTTACATGCTTTCACTTTTTGTGTTATAATCTGTATTTCTGTGAGGGAGGCATTATTGGCTCCATTTTATACATTGAGAATTCAGAGCTACAGATTGAACCCAGGTCATCCTCCCTACTGCCTTTCGTCATGAACACAGCCACCAACAACAGTATTTTTAAAAGTGTTAAATATTGGCAGATGTGTCATTGTTCTGAGCACTAGGAATGCTAGTGCGGCCCTCTGAGGGATTCCCTGTGCAAGGAAACATCACATACCAAAAAATTACTCATGGAAGGAATTTGGAGATCTTGGTGAGCTAAAAGTATTACACTTGGACTACTATAAAAGAAAAAAAAAAGCAGGCACAATAAAATTTTAGAATGTATTTGAGTAAGAAGCAATTAGTGAATTGGGCAACACCAAACCCAGTGAGGATTTGATGTTTCAATGACAACATCAGAGGCAAGTATTCATAGAGTGGATACAGAAGCAAAATTAAGAAATGATTTCATTGGTTCCCTTTTTTGGCTTACTTTGTTGGAAAGTCCCCAGTTTCATGATCATATTAGTTGGCTGTTTCTGATTGGCTGAAGTTTTGTTTCTAACATAAGCATTTACCAAAAATGTCCCAAGTTGTTTCATTTATGTTTACAGTGTCAATATGTTAGGGCTATTTTTAAGGCCTAGTTGGTTTATTTGCTCAGGAACATTTGAAGCCGAGTTTTCATTTTAATTTTGCTTTGGCAGTTCCCTGCTTTTAGTCACCCTGTCAGCAAGCTGAGAATGTGACCAAATGGCGTAGCATTACTCTCAATTACCACTATTGACACAGTCTGGGAGGAAGAGTCAGATGTTATCAGTAGCTGCACTAGGGCTCAGAGTCACCCTCAGCAGTGACAGTCCATGCTGGTTTCCTCCAATTGTCTGATCCTTACGGCAGTCTTTTGACATACAAGTGACTGCTGGAAAGCATTTAATATCCTTGAAAAGACCAGACTCTGTGGATAACACCTGTAATCCCAGAACTTTGGAGGGCAAAGTAAAATTGCTTGAGCAGGAGTTCAAGACCAGGTGGACAATGTGATAAGACCCCATGTCTACAAAAAAAGGCATATTTTTAGTGACCTGGGCAGGGCTGGGCATGGAGGCTCACACCTATAATCCCAGCACTGTGGGAGGTCAAGGCAGGTGGGTTGTTAAAGCTCAGGAGTTCCAGACCAGCCTAAGCAACATAATGAAACCCCGTCTCTACCAAGTAACAAAAAATTAGCCAGGCGTGGTGGCACACACCCCTGGTCGCAGCTATTCAGGAGGCTGAGGCAGGATCACTTGGGCCTGAGAGGCAGAAGTTGCAGTGAGCCGTGATTGTGCCACAGCACTCCAACGTTGGTGACAGAGACCCCATCCCAAAAAGATATGTTAGCTGGGCAGTGCTTACTACAGCAGCACATACACTAAAATTAGAACAATACAGAGAAGATTAGTATGTCCCCTGAAGAAGGATGGCATGCAAATTCATGAAATCTTCCATATTTTACTTATAAAAGCAAGCTGTCCCCTGGTCACCTTGGGCACATGTCATCAAGACCTCCTGATGCCGTGTCATGGGCACATCCTTAATCTTGGTAAAATAAACTTTCCAAATTGGGAGAAAAAAAATTAGCTGAGAATGGTGGCACAGACCTGTAATCCCAGCTACTCAGGAGACCGAGGTGGGAGGATCACTTTAGCTCAGGACTTCCAAGTCCAGTGAGCTATGATTGCACCACTGCATTCCTGCCTTGGTGACAGAGGAAGACACTGTCGCTAAAAAAAATAAATTTAAAAAAGTATTGAGAGAATACAATGCACTGTGTTGGGTAAGCCATTGTGTATGGCCACCCACTGTGTATGGGTGAACACAATAACTACAAGGAGAATAATAGCAAAGGATTGAAAAATACCCCGAGAAAAGATTCCCAGGAGCCAAGATTTAACCAACTGAAATATCAAGGGAGGCAGTGCTAATGAGATAAAAACCTTGTATTCTTGAGGGTCTTTTAAATTTTGGGCAACAATATCAAATATAACAAACACTGTTAGGTTTTGTTAACATAAAAACACCACTTCTCACCAATTCAAGCACAAGCTCACTGCTGAGCAGCTGTGTCAACTCCTATTTTGGGGTACTGCTGAGGTGAAATTATCTAATTGTACTGCTTGAAGAAAATTCATAAATATCACTAAAACTTTTTTCAAGAGTTGCTGAAATATTAATAATTTTTTCAATTCAGAGACTCCAAGCTGATGAAAAAGCTCTTACGAAAGAATGCAATCTGCAACCCCTTTGTATGATTGGGTTTGGGAGATCACTCAGGAGGCTTGTTTCTGAGGGCTCACTTTATGTACAAGTGATCTGAGGTTCAGAATTTGATTAACATTTAAAGAGTCATCTGGACATTTTAGGTAGTTCATAGCCCAAACGTTCCAGTAATTTAGGTGGAAAAACCTTTATATATTTGCCATTCAAGATTAACAATCCGGCCGGGCGCAGTGGCTCACGCCTGTAATCCCAGCACAATGGGAGGCCGAGGCAGGCAGATCACCTGAGGTCAGGAGTTTGAGACCAGCCTGGCCAACATGGTGAAACCCCATCTCCACTAAAAATACAAAAGAATTAGCTAGGTGTGGTGGCAGGCACCTGTAATCCCAGCCACTTGGGAGGCTGAAACAGGAGAATCGCTTGAACTTGGGAGGTGGAGGTTTCAGTGAGCCAAGATCATGCCACTACACTCCAGCCTGGGCAACAAGAGTGAAACTCCATCTCAAAAAAAAAAAAGAACAATCCAGCATTATTGAGAGAAAGGTGCAAAGTGAATCTCATTATCCACCAGTTGGGGGTGACAAGAATGCCATAGTGATTCTTTGTCATATCTGCATTTGCACATTGCCGGGTCGAATGGTTATGGTTTAAATTTGGAGTTGGAGGCTGGGTGCAGTGACTTACACCGGTAATCCCAGCACAAGCGGGCTGATCACTAGTGAGTCAGGGCAGATCACGAGGTCAGGAGTTCAAAACCAGCCTGGCCAACATGGTGAAACCCTGTCTCTACTAAAAATACAAAAATTAGCCAGATGTGGTGGCATGCACCTGTAGTCCCAGCTAATCGGGAGGCTGAAGTGGGAGAATCGCTTGAACCTGGGAATCAGAGGCTGCAGTGAGCTGAGACCACGCCATTGCACTCCAGCCTGGGTGACAGAGTGAGACTCCATCTCAAAGAAAAAAAAAAAAAAATATATATATATATATATATATACACACACATAATTGGAGTTAGAACCAAAAATAGTTACTTGATAAAGTAACTCATATATGTCATCACCAACTAAGGATGATGATTGTTTCCTCTTCAAATATGCTCCAAGTATTTATCCAATAAACAAAACTACTTATTTTCTATAGTTGGAACTATAGAGGCATTCCATTTGCTTCTAGAGTTTCCGGTGAACCAATGCCTAATTTCAGTGAGCTCTCTATGATAGGGTTAAGGGTATCATGGTTGTGTTCTGGTATTATATCTGTGTCATTATATAGAGCAGTTCAATCTCCATAATCTGTGTCAAACCAAAGAGTTTCATTACAGAGGGAGTCTGGAGCACTGCTAGATTAGTCTGAGTTTTTCAGAGTCTGTCTGTTGCCCAGGCTGGAGTTAAGTGGCACAAACATGGCCCACTGCAACCTCTACTTCTCGGGCTTAAGTGATCCTCCTACCTTAGCCTCCCAAGTAGCCGGGGAACTATAGGCCTGTACCACTACACCTGGCTAATTTTTGTATTTATGGTAGAGACAGAGTTTCACCATTTTTCCCAGGCTGGTCTTCAACTCCGGGGCTCAAGGGATCTCCCTGCCTTGGCCTCCCAAAGTGTTGGGATTACAGGCATGAGCCAGAGCACCCAGCCTTATGGACACATTTTTCTCTAGGAATAGAGAAAAATTACCAGTGATAAAATCAATAGTAGTTAGAGGTCATTCCCTTCTTCTATTGCTTCCCAATGACTAGTTTGTCGATCATGAGTATCAACTGCCTACCTACCAAGGGAATGATACCAAACCCTTTCATAAAGGCAGCTTCCTGAATTACTCACCCAAGCATGTGTGGGAGCAGGTTCTAATATTAATTGTGATTCTTCCCATCCATCTAGATAACTACCTATCTAGCAATGCATTGGTTAATGCCATGGTTTGCATGTATTCCCTTAAATTTCATGTATTTGAAACTTACTCCCCAAATTCACAAGCTGATTAGAGGCAGGGCCTTTGGAAGGTAATCAGGAATAAATAAGGTCTTCAGGGTGGGCCTCCCATTATCAGACTGGTAAAAGGAGCCATAACTTATGCTTCATTTCATACTAAATCTTGACCATGATTCAGGCAGTGGCAATGGACTCTGGACCAATGAAACCTTCAGACAACTGGAGCGAGGGGGAGATAAGACAAATAAGAACCTGTTATTTTGAGATAAGACATTATGTCAATGGGAACATATAAACAGAGCCGTATGGTCTGGAGTTAAGTAGCATTCATATTAGCAGGGCATAGGATCATTTATAAAACAATTTTATGTAAAGTATTCCCCATCAAAACTCAATTGAGCAGGCAGTGTACATCTAATTTTTCTAAATGACTACATTGTGATTCAGAAAGGCTAATGAACATGCCAGGGCTGCACAGAGCTAGGATACCAATCCAGTCTTGTGACTCCAAAATTTAGTGGAATTTGTGGTTCCTTTATATTTTTCCCCCACTAAGTTATGCTGTCTTTTTCCTAGGTCAGGGGTTCCTAGCCTTTATTGTATAATAAGCCAACCTCTACAAGAAGTTGGCTATAGTTACAGACACTTCTTCCCTCCCCCTGACCCTAGCAGCTTAGCACATACAGCAGAATTTTGCAGCCAACTTCAAGGGCCTCCGAGACTCCAGTTAAGAACCTCTGAACCAAGGATTCTAGTCCTAGCTGAGGTGTCTCAGACATATTTAGTATAAACTGGCAATGAGCTTGTTCTGTCTGGTTATCCTCTGCTGCCTCCAGCCATTTTCTATTCTGATTCACCCACAAGCCCACAGAGAAGTCAGTAACATACAGGTTCAGAAAAGCTAGTGGTGGAGAAACATTTCCAGGAGAAAAAAAAGTGGCACTTAGGCTGCTCCTCTAAGGAGATGCCATTCTGACATATTCTTGGCACAACATGTTTGACAAGCTGGAAAGGAGAACAGACTGATGCATGACGGGGTACGGTGGCTCGCGCCTGTAATCCCAGCACTTTGGGAGTCCGGGGAGGGCTGATCACCTGAGGTCAGGAGTTCGAGACTAGCCTGGCCAACATGGTGAAACCCCGTCTCTACTAGAAATACAAAAATTAGCTGGGACTGGTGGCAGGTGCCTATAATCCCACCTACTGGGGAGCGTGAGGCAGGAGAATCACTTGAACCCGGGAGGCAGAGGTCGCTGTGACCTAGATCGTTCCACTGCACTCCAGCCTGGGTGACGAGCGAAACCATCTCAAAAAATAAGCTAAAGCATGCCGTAAGTCTGTGAACTGTGAACTTTAGGGTGCCATGTACAAAAGTGGCATTTTAAGATTAGGAACAGTGTGGAAGATGAGTTGTAAGGCAGAAGGATTAGAAACAGGAAAGCTATTCGATAGAAGTAGAGGCAGAAATGAGAACATTCACACAGGAAGAATTGACAGGCCAAGATGTAGGATACCTAGAGGAAAGGTGTAAGAGATCTCTCAATATTTTCAGCCTTGGAAGAACGAATGTGTTCAATGAATATTTATTGTGTACACTCTGTTGATGATAGAAGTGTGGAGGTTCAGGGTGTCAAGGCCAAAGCCATGTTCTGAGTCAACCAGTCAAGTTACAAGGAGCCACTTTAAGATTTAGACAGTTTGTTACTTACACAGACAGCAAAAAGAATAAGCCAAAAGGTGCCATCTTCCTGTGATCTTTGTCCCACATACCAAGTAGTATATGACACCAAAACAAAGACCCAGATGACTGCAATGTGAGTTGTGGAATACCCTGTTGCTGAGGAGCTAATCCTAGAAGCTCTATTTTGAGGAAGCCGGGACAGAAAGCCCCCGCATCACCAGAAGCCCCAAGAGATGAGAAACTGTCTCATGACAGCTTCCCAGGAGAGATAAGGAGGCGAACAGAAGATCGCATTATGGCGGCTCTGTACACAGGCCTCCCAGCCTCCCACATCCAGGAAGAAAAGGAGGCATTTGGCAAGAGTCTGCCTCTATGCAAGGTCTCTATGATGTGGTGGTAAAGCTGTTCCCTCACACAGGGGAGAGCTGGTTTTGAGAAACAAGAGATAAACATGGTTTAAAATACACAGCCTGTAAAGTTAGGTTCAGACATTCACATGGAATTGATCGGGGATGTTTTCATCAAGTTTGTCATGGTTGTTACACAGCAGTGGATAACCAGAGCACAGCTATTGATTGATCACTCAACACCCGCTTCCCTTCTCCTTCTGTGCAGCAGACTGC